AGTGTATAGTGACAATAGGGATTAGGACATGTTGAAAAAAAGATGACACTGAATTCACGTTTAAAAATCAAACTAGCATTTGAGAAGATGATTGTGTTTTGTTAAAACTTTGCAGAGAACAATTATTTCAGCATGGCAACAATCTAAACATGATGGTTAAATCGCATTTGTTTCCACAGAAAATAAAGTAAAAGAAAGTTTGGACTGCATTGGGTTTTTCTACAATGTTACTGATTACCAACATATGTAGCAGACAAAGAATAAGTCAGTCTTGTAATTGTATATGCAGCTCTTCAGAGGATGAATGAGTGTGTTTTTATGGATGAAACAACCGGGCATCATTTCAAAGCCTTCTAGTGCCGACTATAGTTTACAGCAATCTTGCAAATTTTCCTACACATGCCACAGCATTCAGAACTTTGGACCATTTGCTTCTTTTTTACTTAAATAACAGAAGTTCAGCATGAGATAAACAGAACTAGAACTGCTGCTCATCATTTTCTTGATTACCAGAGTAGACAAACTTCTTTGTATAAGCTCGGTTGCTATTAAACAAGAAGTAGCCCGGTGCTTAGAAACCATCCACAAAAAAAGAAGAGAAACTCCTCAGAAAATGCTGCGCAGAGCTTTTCCTTTAAGCCTTCTGCTCATCTTATGAGAACAACTCAAAAGCCTTTGGGATTCAGGAATAAATTGCTGYGTGGAAACAAGCACTAATAAATCCAGGATGAAAACAGACAGGCGCAGTAATACACATCTGAATGAGATTGTTCTACTCTACAATGCTAACAAATGCAAATTATTTTCCCTTTAAGAGCACGTTACTCAGCTTCATTTCCCGCTCTCAGTGAAGAATGACACGCTCAAATTTATCCAACAGATTTTTAAAAAAATGAAGCACTGAAGACGTAAACTACTTGAGCAATGACAGATTTTTATTCCTGAGTTCCAAGATTTTCCAATTAGCAGAGACTGAAGTGCGGCACACTAAGAGAGACATATTTAAGCATATCAGTCTCATTGCATGCTCCAGCTGCTGTCTGAGTTGTTGTGAGCTGTTTATGGGCCCCAAGGGAGGGCCGGGGAGAGACCTCTGTATCAAAACAATTCCACAGCTAGCAGGAGGTGTGACATAAACAACAAGGTTCTTACCCTTCCCCAGTGAGTACCTCTGACAGCCGACCCACCTTCCTTGCTCCAGCGCGCACACAAACCCCGCATTAGTGTAGTTATATATGCACACAGTCAAAGATGTCAAATCGTAGCCCCTGCAATCTCAGCTCTCCCTTCCTTCCAACTGCTTATCTCCCGGTGAGAGGGAGAGAGGATGAAAAATGAATGGCTGCCATATGGAAGCGATACGTCGCATGAGAAGAGGAAGAACTATTGGTGTGGAAAATCAATTTTGTCAAGTGGCAAACATATAGCATTCTATTGGGTAAAATAGCCAACATTAGCCCGTCTCCTCATGCAAGGCTGTGCAGAGGTAGAGACGGGAGATGGGAGGCTGCAAATAAGGGATGAAAGTAGAACCAAATTTGCAGGAGAGAGGGAGAATAATTAATGTGTCTGAGTTCGTCTCCCATTGCCTCACAGGAACATGTCTGTATCCCACAAGACCTGCAGCTGTTCTTGTGGATGACACCGGCGTCACAGATGTTCAAGAAAACACCACAGAAATGATCATTTCACACTGTCAAAAGTAATCTGCTAATATATATAT